ATAATAATAATAAATAATATATATATATATATATATATATATATATATATATATATATATATATATACATATATTTACTATATTTTTTTTTAATTATATATTTACTTTATTTGAGAATTTATTTATATCTGACTTTTCTGATATTAAATATTATACTGTTGCTAAATCGCCATTTTTAGAAGCATGATGCAATGAAGTCCATCCATTAGAATCAGTAATATTTATATCAGCGTCACATTTGACTACATTTTTTAAAATAGTATCATCTTTAGTTAAATAAACATTCTATACTGCATTATGAATAGGAGCTATTCCAAATATAGTTTTTTTTCCATCAACAAAATGTCCACAATTAACTAGAAAATTAAAACTTTTATTATCTCCTTATTTAGTTGCATCTTTTAAATCAATTAAATATTTCCTTACTGTATCATTACTTGCATAGTCTAGGACTTCTTTACGGTGTTTTAAATCTACAGCTTTCGGATCTGCCCCTAGTTTTAAGTAAAATTACACTTAAGCGAAATCTCCGTAAAAAGAAGCTAAATGTAAAGGAGTATAGCCTTCATTATCTTACCCATTTATTATTTTTTATACTAAATCATCTATGTTTTATTTAAATTAGGTCAAAAGTTCATTATATTCATGCGGTAATAGGAAGTTTGTAACCATTTAAATTATCGGAAGGTATTATTTCGGACATATTCTATTTTCTTTATTTAATTCAAGGAGTTATATTTCATTAAAAAGGTACTCGAAGTCGTCGTAACCATCTATATTTAATCCGTAATTGAGCAAAAGTCTGGCTGATTTAATACATTTGGTAAATTTACTCAAAGCAGCGTAATGAATTGGATTTCGGGAAAGATCGTCTATAGGTTTTAAAGCCTAAGTAATTCTATCTAATTACAATTCAAGATATTTTTTGAATAAAACGTAAATTTAATGCCTGAAATTGTTAAATCTCTCCTTAACTAAAGGATTATGTTTATCTGAAGATATTAAAATTCCCTATCTAATATCAGTGCGTTTAAAATAATATTATTTCATTTCTTATTTTATGTTTTGGAATAATTTCAAACGGTCTATATGTTTACAATAGTTTAATACTAATGAAATACATTCAGAATGGCCTAAATAACAACATAAATGAAATAAATTTTGACCACTTGAAGTTATTATAAATGGATCAGATCCTTTTGTTAATAAATATACTATTAGATTTTGGAAATTATAATAACTTTTTTTTTTTTTTTTTTTTAATATAAATGCTTTTTTATTTTTATATAGATATTTTTTATTTTTTTTCTCATTTTTACCATGCATAAAATAATGGAGTTTTACCTTCCATATCCATGCTGTTTACTAATCTTATTATTTCGCTTTCTTGGTTAATTTTTTATAAATGTTAAAAGTGGTCGTTTATTAATGTTATGCGGCCAGAACTTACTTCTTCAATTATTTTATAAGGTTTCCTGGACGATACTATGTCTTGTAATTTGTTAAATTATAAAGTCGAAGTTAATAGATCTTTATTATAAGTGTTGGACATTTTTTTTGTTAATTTATATAAAATTTATTTAATTATTTTTATTAATTTTTTGTTATTTTACAATCAGTTTCTTTTTTTTATTTATTAATAAAAATATATTAAAATATTTTTAATTTGAAATTAAATAAAAGAATTTTTAAATTTCTTATGTTTTGTTTCAAAAAAAATAATATAATTATTAAATAAATTATTGTTAATATAAGAAAAAAATAATATTATATATATATAAATATATAAAATTATCAAATTTTAGTAAACAAAAAATTAAATTAATTCAATTTTTTTTTTATTCGTTTATTCTTAATAATAAACTTTTAAATTTAATTATTTTTTCAGTATATTTTTAAAGTCTAAATATTTTTAAAAAAAAATAAAATAATATAAAAAAATATATTACTTATAAAGTTAAATTAGTTAGTTTATCCTAATATTCATTAACTTTAGCTTTGTTATGAGCCATACTAAGCATTTTAGTTGCTTTTTTAAGTTTGATATCAATAGCTGAATTATAAGCATAATCTCCAATTTTATCTTTAGGTAAATAGTTATAATTAACTCTTGTATAATCAAAAGGTATTTAATAATGTCCCTATATAAAATGTATTTATTTATTTATTTAAAAAGTAAAAAGATATTATAAAAAAATAAAACTTAATATAAATATATATATATATAATTACATCTCTTTAAGCGTCTAAAATTCTAACAATACAACTCATAGTTTCATAATATTTAACAGAATTTTTTTTATTTTTGATTCCTTCTTAAATAGCCATCCAAGGGTTTTATTAACTTGCTTTTTACAAAATATCAAAGGGCACTTATCCTTTAAAAATAGGCAATTAATAAATTCCACTTTTTACATATCCATTATTAGTAAAAACAGGGCATAAAGTCCATCCAATGTTTTCCAAATAAACTTAATCTCCTTTTTTATTAAAAATAACCTTCCTACAATCAATAATAATACTTAAATTTTGTTAAAACTCGACTCCAGTAAATGTAAAATAACCTTCCGTAAATTAAGGCGAAGTAATCGGACTTTACCAATTATAAGCCGAATTTAACATAATTTCATCCCTTTTGTAACCTCCTCCTAGATAAAAAGTTGCGGGTGGGTTTAAACAATATAAGCCAACAATAGGATAGTCCTTATGTGGGTTATTATGAAAACCATCTAATGAAAATTTAAAGCCTACATCAGGTTTATATTAGGCGAAATATTGAAGTTCTATAATATCTGTATAGGGGCTTCTAACAATATTTTTATCAATCCATTCTTTTGCATCTTTGACTTTTATTTCTTTTATATTTATAGGATTAAATTCTGAAGGTTATTCTTGTATTTCTTCCTCTACTTACCCTTTTTTTTTCTTTTTCTTTTTTTAACTATTGGTTTGTTTGATTAATTCTTCTTGTTTTTAAACGAAGTCTTTTTTCGCGAAATGATTCATTAAGTCATTTAAGGCTTCAAGAGTTTTCGGGCTTATTCTTCTTAGTCTTATTATAAATAATTCCTTTTCCGAATCTCGAAGGCTGTAATATGAAGTATTGTAAAAAGCCTACTTTTCGATGCTATAGGGTGGTTAAGGAACTTTTAAACCAATTCTCTCCCAATCTTGCTAAGGAACATCTTCTAATGAAAGTGCTCTAAAGCCATCTGCACTTATAGGAGCATTTACTATTCTTACTAATAATGAGGCACATGGCAATTTATCTAATTAATACCTTATTTTTTATTTTAATAATATTTAATATTATATATATATACAATCTTTCAATATTAAAAGGCTTTATTTTAACAGGATGTTAGCAAAATATGGGAATTTAATAATTTCCGTTTTATAAAATAATTTCATTATCTAATTAATCTGTGGGTTGCTTTTTTGTTTTTGAATTAAGGAAGAAATTTATTATTGAATATCCTACAATTCTTACTTCTTTGTTCATATTATCAATTGTTTCTATTACCATAAAAGCCTATAAAGTAGGATCGAAATGAGTAGCTCTTAATTCTTTTCTAAAACCATATTTAGGAGAATATATATCACTGTTTAAATCTGGAAGAGCACTATCATTATCAAAAAATTTATCGAAATTTTAATTTAAAATAGACAAAGAAATCTTAACAAAAAATAATAAAAAAAAATAATTTAATATATATTTATAATTATATATCTTTTATTTCTTACTTTCGAAACAGTAACATTATCAGGTAAAAATCTAGCTGCATCAATATAAAAATCAATACCTTATCCTTTTTCAAAAGGCTTATCAAGGTACTAAACTTGTGTATTTTCAAGAAAAGCTTTAGAAAGATCATCTAAATCTTCTTTAATTCTAACTTTTACAGACTTAACCTACGGTTTTTTTCTCAATTTTGCTTTCAAGTCTCTTATATCTGCATATTTTTCATCTTAAGACTTCTTATTATCCTTATCGAAGTCAAAATAATTAATTGAAAAGTCTATTTCTGAGTTTTTAAAGTAGTTTACACTAGAAGCATCGAATGGAGGTTTTACAATAGGAACATCGTACATATTTTTATAATAATGTCCTATTTAACAGACTTCTTTTTCAAAAAGAGAAAATGCATACCATGCTTTACCTATAAGGACTTTTTTTTAATTTTTTTTTTGGGTTTTTCTATTTTTTATTCTACTAATTATTCTTCCTATTCAATATCTAATGAATATTTATCACTATATATTTAAAAAAGTAAATATATATCCTAGAAAGCTTTATTACTATATGCATAAGAAGTAATATCGACAAAAAAATGATAATCTTCTTACATTACTGTAATTCCTTCTTCTATTAATTTAGAATCTAATAATTAAGCAAAATTATTTGAGTTTTCTTTAGAAGGACGAAGTGGTTCATATACATCAGTTTCAAATTAGCAATCTCGACCAAAATCATCTTTTATAGTACCTCTTTTTACATCTATAAGGAAACATTTTATTTTAGAACATTTGTCAGTTAAATATTTTAATAAATTATGTATTGTAATCTATTAGAATTAAAAAAAATATAAATATATATATATTATATTTATATATTTATATATTTATATATATATTACATGCAATCCTTTGTTTTCGTTTCTATTATTATTAATTTACTATTCATTCTTCGAAGGTTCCATTTTCATTTATGTAAATTCTTATTTTGGTTCTTCATCTGATTCACTTTCACTAGAAGAATCTTATTAATCATTAAAAATAGTTGATGTTTATCTCTATTTAGTTAAATCTAATTCTATAGATGCTTAGACAACTGTTTTTTTATGAATAACTGGTATAAAAAATTCATTCTTTTTTTTTTTAATTTAAAATAATAAATTTATTTTTAAATATATATTACTCCTTGAGTCCATGGATGTAAAGGATATTCGTCCCCAAATTCTAGGTCTTAAGGGAAGCAGATTCTTAAATGAAGCATTGTATTTGATTAACTTTGTAAATTTTTCGATTAACTAACAAGTACATTCGGGTTAATTTTTGTTGAATAAAACGGAATTTTCCATTTACCCCTCATTAAGTCCTAATTCATATCAAAAAGTTCCAAAATAGACCATCCATAAACATCCATTTAAGTCTTTTATCCATAATCTAAATAAAAGCACTACAATTCAACAACCAAAAGTATATCTTTATTACCTTTAATATCATAAACATGATCTCTATCTCCCCAAACAGCATACTTAGTATTAAAACTCTACATTTACAAAGGTCTATGCTCCAAAAACTAAGGAGGCACAATAACCTCACTTCTTTTAAATAATCCCCATTATACTTTTACACTAGAGTATCTTTTAGGAACATTTACAGCCCAATCCCAGAAAATAGTAAAGCCTTCCATAGGCATATATTTTCTGGCTTAATGCAAATTATTTAACTTTTAAATTAATTAACTTCTGGTTTTTATTTATCTTTCTTTTTCGGGATCAGCCTTTCCACTAGCATTGTAGTCTTCACGAAGTTTTTAATATCTTTATTCTTATATGATTTTTTCTAAATCATCTTTAAGTTTATTTAAATAATTAACTTCTTATTGTTTTTAATAGTATATGGGAGAGTTTGTAGGAAGTTTTTTTAAAAGACGATTAACGTCGCCTACTCGTGTTAGTAAATGTATTAATTTTAATTCTTCTTAGGACATTTACTCTGTATCTTTATCATCTTCTGGCAGTATTGTTTTAAATACTTTTGTTAATTAGCTTACTTTTCCCTTTTTTTCATTTTTTTTATATTAATTTTATTTTTTAACTTTTTATTTTTTTACATTCATTAAAGCATCATCAAGGCCAGCTAATTCCATTTTTATTTCGGAGGCTATTTATGTTCCTTATTTAAAGTTTTAATCAATTTAATTTTATATACTATCAATATATTTTTTTTTGTTTATTAATATATTATTAATATTAGATTAAGGAAAAAATTATTATTAAATTTCATCTTTGGGTCTAATTATTGTGTTAGAAGATTGTATTTGTGGAATTTAACTTTGATTTAAATAATGGGCTTGTGAAATATTATTAATATTTTCTTGACTTTATTAAACGATTGATTATTCTATTCTAGTAGATTAATCTTACAATAATTGACTTTCTATATTTAAAAAAATCATAATATAAAAACAAATATTAAAAATATATATATGTTTTAATATATATATTTATATACAATTTATTTCTTCTTATAATGGTATTTTTATACCATCTAAAATATTTTTAGCAGTTTATTTAATACTTGAGCTTACTTATTTACTATTTATTAAATTATAAAATTTGGACATTAAAATGGCTCTATCGTTTTGTAATTAATCTTTTGTTTTTTAAAATAATCAATTTCATTTGGAAAGATTGTATTTTTTTATAAAAAATTGTTTATCTATATTTTATATTTTTATTATTTATAAATATAATTTTAACTTTTTCAATTTTTTATTTTTTTGTATACATTTTTGTAATATTATATATATCTGTCATGTAAATAATATCTTTCATTTATAAATTATTTTACTTGTTCAAATGTTTATTAATGAATTTATTCTTTATATCTTCTATTATCTAAATCTTATAGTCCCTAAGAAATTTTATTTATATCATTTTCTAATTCTTATTTAGTATTAGGTTATTGAAATAACTCATTAAGTAAAAAATTTTAGTTATTATTTAATTAACTTTAATCACTTATTGGTGCGTTATATTTTTTATTATATTCATATTGTGTTAACCTAACTTCGTTTTTAGCATTTTCTAATTAATCATTATAAAATTAAATACTTTATTTATCTTCTCTTTTTTAATCATAAAATTGATTGCATTTGTTGTTTGTATATGAACAATACTAATTTTATTTATTTTAAATTTTATATATATATTTTTTTAACGTTTATTTTATGGTTGTTGTATTACATTTCATCTTAAAATTATATATTACATGAACTATATTTTTATAAATTTTAATTTTATTTGGTTATCTTTTCTTTTTTATAATTATTATTACTTGCATTTTAACATTTTACAGAAATATTTATTTTTTTAAAAAAAAAAAATGATATTTTTTATAATTCAAAAAATATATATTGTTATTATTCCAAGTAAAAAATATTAAAAAAGTTCAATAAAAATCAATATTTGTTATTTTTTTTATTTAATTATAATGTAAAAAAATATAAATAAATAAATTATATATAAAAATTAATATTTTAAAAGATATTCATAAATGTCTATATTCTTATCAATAAATTCAATAGTTATTAATAGTTGGAGCTTATTAATTTTAGCACCGCTTTTTATGGTTATATCTTCATTATTTTGTGGAGGAATGAGTTATATATATATATAATCAAAAGTATAAAATTCAATTGTGAATAAATATATTGGAGATGTATCATCATTATTACCTTTAAATGTAAAACATTTATTTTTTATTTTTTATAAAAAGTATTTTTTTATATAGGAACAATTGTAATCATTTAATTTAACTTAAATTATTTTAATTGCAATATCATTAGTTGTATTTACATTAATTTTTATTTGCTTTATGTTATATTAAGTATACGGAGAAGAAAATTATAAAAAAATGAAGGAAAAATTAATATAAGAAATAGAAAATTAAAAAAAATAAAATTGAAAATAAAATAAAAAAAATAAATAAATAAATAAATAAATAAATAAATAAATAAATAAATAAATAAATAAATAAATAAATAAATTAATAAATAAAAAATATATACATATATATATATTTTTTTAAAAATTATTGGATTTATATTTTTTACTTTTTTTCTAATATTTATATTTCTGGATAATCATATAAAAAAAAAAAAATAGTTGTAATATTTTATTTTTCATATAAAATATATATATTTTATAATAATTATTATATATATTTTTATTTTAATATAAATATAAAATATTTTTATTAAAAATCGTAAATTGGCTTAATTTTTATGATTTTTTATAATAAATATATAATATTAAGTTATTATTATATTCATTTTATATAAAAGTTAATTTCTATTCAGTTTTTAATATATTAATCTATTTTCAATTACTTTTTTTATTTAAATAGCAAAATTATGTAGCTTCATTTATTAATGTAATAAAACATCTAGTATTAATATTTTAAATTTATTGTTTATTTTCTTTTTAATTAATAATTTCTAAAACTATATCTAAAGAATCTTATACTACCTATGGAATAACTTATTATTATACACGAGTGTCTTTGTATTAAATAGAAAATATATTTAAATATATATATATATATATATATATATATATATATATATATATATATATATATATACCAGTAAAGATGGCAGGGTTTAAATTTATTTCCAATAAATAAGGATTTAAATAACTATCAACTAAAATATCACATCCAAGTAATTCAAAGCAACCTTATTTTTTCAGAATTTTTTTTTCTGCAGTAATTAAAACATAAGTAAGAAGTTATTTAATTTTATTTTACATATTTTAGATTTATTCTTCTGATAAATTATACGATTTATTTAAATATTACTAAAAATAATAAATAATTAAATAATATATAATTATTACTTAAAATTATTGTTAACTCCAAATAGTATTTTCTTTTAACCTTTGAAAATCAGGATGTTTTTTTTAAATCGCTGCATTAGTTAAATGCGTATATCTTTCATTTACATCACCTGCAGTTTCTATTTAATTGTATTTAAATATTATTATTTTTTTTAAAAAACCATTTCTATATTCATTAATAGATAATCTTAAATAACCAGGATTATATAAAATTATATAAGGATTAGTACTTGCAATAAGTACATAACATCTAATATCGAATTTCCTTTTATCTAATAAAAGAGGGTTTTCGATATATTTTTGAATAATACTTTTTTTGGAATTTGTAATTATTTTTTATTTAAAATCATTGAAGAGTTATTTTAAATTGAGTTTTTTGATTTTAATGATTACTTTATTTTCGCAAAATTATCTCTGAATTTTTTTATATCAGAAACTATTTATATTCCTTTACCACAATTATAATTTGTTGGTTTATTTATCCATATTCCTGAAATATTTCTTTTATTTAAAAATATATGCTCGTCATTTGAAATCATCTCCTTTTAAGTATCTAATCTATAAGTTTCAGGTAAAAAATGATTAGAATTTATCTCATATACACATTTATTTTTTTATTCAAATTCTTTTATTGTTTATATTAAACGCGATTTGTTTGCTATTATAGTTATATTTTATATATGATTTACCTTTTTTTCGTTTTTTGTTAATAAAAATATTACATATATATGTATGTATTTACTATTTATTATCCTTCTTAAAAAAAAGGCCAATCGATTTCAGTTAATGTTTAAACCCATTTAAAATAATATTTAGTATATGCTTTTTAATTTGCATTATAGATTTCCCATCCTCTATTTATTTTATTATTTTTTTATTTTTTTGAGAATTAAAATAAAAAAAATACTAAATTACTTTTATTAAAAAAATTATCTTATTAGTTAATCGTTGTTTCCATTTCCTATAAAAATAGTCTTTATTGGAATTTAAAGTAATGAGCTCTGTACGAGCTTTGGAAGTTTGGAATTCTATGCATTTTCACTAGTTTAAGTTATTATATTTTAATTTAATTAAGATTTATTTTATAAAGATTTTGAGTTTTTTGAATTTAAAGTTGAGATTATTTTTTTTAAATTTCTTTATATAGATTTGTAAGGTAATATGCATAATGGATCGTTAATTTATTTAGAATTTTTATCAGTATATATAATTTTTCTTTATTGCTTAATTTTATTTTGATTGAATAACAGCATATTTTTTTTATTAATATTTAAATTTTTAAATTTGTTTTTTTTTATATAAATAAAAGGTATTTATATTATATATGTGTTTATGAAATAATTTTTTAATTCTTTATTTTATATTAAAAATATTTAAATATTAATTTATTTTAATAAGTACTAATAAATTTTTTTTATTATTTTTATAACTTATTATATACTATATAAAAAGATAAATTTTTGATAATAATATATAAATAAATTAAATACTTTTTTATTAAAAATAATTTATAATTTAAACTAATTATATTTCTCAAAAAATTAAATTAAATTTATTTGTTTTAAAATATTTATTTAATAAATTTTATAAATAAAATTATTTTATTTTTTTACATTAATAAATAAACATAGTTATAATAATAATAATATTATTAGAACTTAAAAAATAAATCATCCTTAAACATAAATGGAAAAAAACAATATTTTTAATTCAGAAGAAAAATTCTCAAATAGTTCTTCCTAAATAAGAATTTTTAATATTGATTAAAAAGAAAATAACCACAGTTTATAATAATCAGAACTTGAAGTAAACCAAGAAATATATTAAAGCGCTCGTACCCTAATGTTAGCTGATACTCAAAAAATCAATGACGAATATCCTTAAATTCAAGACCAAATGACCCAATTCCAATCAATGTTTTTAACTTTTAACATAATGTTTGGTTTAGGACCATTAATACTTCCCTAATCAATTTTAAAAGCTGGAGTATTATTAGGTTTAATTGTATTATTAATGATATGTATAATAATATATCAATGTAGTGAATATCTACTCGAATCAATCGGTATATGTAATTTTTTACATGAAAAAAAATATTAGTATTAACTCGGATATTTGACATTAATACACACACCTTCAAATAATTTAAACCGTAATTTTTTTATATGAACTAAAAATTCGAATATTAGGAAATAGCTGAAAGTTTATGGGGAAATTAATCGAAATATTTAATGTCTATACTTATTATTTTGTATTTATTTAGTTATGCAATTATAAAGGCTATTTCGATTTCAAGAGTTTTGACTTTTATTTTCTATCCTTAAATGGTTTTAGGGAATTTTTATTTTTGGATATATTTATTTTTATTTACGGCAGCTATTTTTTCATTCAGAAATATTTCTTCGACAATTGTTGCTTAATAGATTGTTGCCTTTATTAGAGTAAGCATTCTAATTTTGTTGGTTTTTGCCTGTATTTATGAAATCTATATAAATCGTGGATTAAAAGATTTGGAATATTAAAATTATCCTCTTTTTAATTTCTCTAATTTATAAGATTAAATCAATAACTCTTTTGTGGCATTTGGAGGATTTCATTATTCTATCCCGGCTATTGCGAAACCTATAATGCCTTAGAAAAAAATTAAAAATGTATTCCGTGCAACTTTTTTAGGAACATTTATTTATATTTCGTGCATTTCTATATTTGCTATATTAGCTTTTGGAACTAATCTGTGTAGTTAATAAGGAGGAATAAAATTCTTGAATATAAACTTTTCTTAGAATGAAAGTAGTGCTTATTATTTGGCGGGTTTTTATATTTTCTTGAATATGATTTCTTATCCTATTATAACGATAACTATAAGAAACAATCTAATGAAAATTTTAGCGCCGAGCAAAATTCCGTAAATTAGTAGTTAAGTTACATTATATACGTTTATTTTTACAGTTTTTATTATCATTATAGTATGCTTGTTTTGTACTTTTTTAAATAATTTATAATATATGATTAATGTTTAGTAAGGACTTCTAGGAGCTTCAGTAATTATGATTTTTCCATAGTTGTTTGTTATTAAAGGAAGATAAAAGTTGATGAAAGAATTTTAGGTTGATTATAAATTAAATATATATTGTGCAAGTTTAAATAATAAATATTTACCTTATTTAATTTTAGTAATAGGAATATCTTTAATTGTATATAATTGTTATTAATTTATAAATATTTCTCTATGAATTTATATAAATCAATTAAAAATATAACTTATATGAATATATTTTATATTATAAATATAGAATAATATATATAAACTATAATAAAAGATATGTTTGTAATAAAATAATTGTTTAATAATTATTATAAATTATAAGATATTCAAAAAAATAAAAATGAAAAAATTAATTGAAAATATTATAAATATATATATATAAAACTATAAATATATAAATATATAAATATATAAATATATAATATATATATATATATAAATATATTTTTTACATAATTTATAAAATATAATAATATATAAAAATTATGTATAAAATATATATTATTCATTTTATTTTTTATATTTATATTTGTTTTGTATAAAATAATTTATGTTCCTATTAAAAAATATTTTATACAATTTTGATTTTTTTTAATAATTTTGTTTATTATAAATTATTTTAAAAATTTTATTTCAATAATATTTGTTAGTTTTATTTTATTTAGTTAGTTTTTTTAATATATTTAAATCAATTTTTTTATAATTATTAAGATCATCAAATTATTAACTTTCTGAATTTTTTTTTTATATTATTATTTTTTAATTAAAGTTATTTATTTATTTTCAAATTGTTATGATAGTCTTTTATTTTTATTTTCTAGCTATTATTAATTTATTTATTTTAAATTTTTTCCTAATTATTATTTTTAACTTAAACATATTTTAGAATTATATTAAGTACTTTTTTATAATAAAAATTTATATATTATAATTTATAATTTTACTTAATTTCTTATCCTTTTTATTCCTTTTTTTTTATATCCAAACTTTTTTTTAATTCTAAATTTTATTATTCATTTTTTTTATTAATAAATAATATTTTTAAACTTTCATCAATATTTTTATTTTATAAAGTTTATTATTTAATATTAACTATATTATTAATTTAAGTTTTATTTTCATTTATATTTTTTTTATTATCATTCAAATTATCATTATCAATAATTAAGTTTTTGCTTTTTGTTGTTATACATTTTATTTTTTATTCTTTAAAATCTATTTATTTATTTTTAAAAAAAGCTATTTTCTTATTATATTTTTTTTTTTATATATAATTAATATTTTCTTATCTTTAAATACCTTCTAATTTTTATTTATTTTCATTTATTTAGAATTTGAAAATTTCAAGATCATTACTTTAAACTCTTTCAGTATAGGGTTTTTTATTAATATTTATTAATTTAATTTTATGTTTTATATCTGAACCTTATTATTAAAATTTCTATCTTTATATTTCATCAAAATATTCATAGCTTTTATTCATTACTTGTTTTTGTTTTTCTATTAATTAATTATTTGAAATAAATGAATCCTCTAATGTATTAAGTTGTTTTTCATATTGATTATTTTAAACTTTATAATCAAATAATTTTTTTGTATTTTATCTGCTTTATTCTATTGCTTAGTCTATAATATTAAAAAAATCTATGTTTTTTTTCATTTTGCTTTTATTGAAAATAAAATATATTTATTTTAGGATAGTAAAAAATAAAAAAAGTTGTTAAAATATTTTTTAATTTTTTTTTTTTATAAATATTAAGATTTTTAACTTAATTTATTTTTTTAATTAATTTTAAAGAACTTTTTTTTTTTAAAATAAAATACAATTATTAAAAAAAAATCAACTTAATAAAAATTAAATAAATACATAAATTAAATGAGATTATTCAAAAATGTACATTTTTATTTTTATATAGAATTTTATTTGAAAAAACAATAAAAATTATATCTATTTAAAGGATATATTCCTTATTATATATAAATTAAAAAAAAATTATTTAATTATTAACAAAAAAAATATATTTCTTTATAATGTTGCGAATATTATAATGATAAAAATGGCTCTCTTTATAATTAGATGAGAAAATATAAAGTTCATTAAAATAAATTTTAACAGATAGACTTTCACGATTTTAAATATATATCAATAGTAAAAATATTCGAACGTTTTTGTTATATAATAAAAAATAAATTTCTAAGTTTTAAAAGATATTTTTGATTTTGATATTATCCTAACCAAAATAAATTTATATATTAAAAAAATAAAATTTTAATAATTTTTAGAAAGAAAATTTGAAGCGAAAGTTTTGTGTACTTAAAAAATTCTAATAAAAATAATAAATTATTAAAAAAAATGCATATATAATATACAAAAATAAAGTTTTGATTATTAAAAATATTTATATTATTAAATAAATCATTTTTTTATATTTTCTTATTTAAAATAAAAAATTGTAAACTATTAAATATGATAATTTGGTATTATTTTAAAATATATTGACTGTAGATATTAGAACCTTTATATCTATATATTTTATTGTTCTACATATATAAATTAAACCTTTTTAATATATAAACAAATTCTAAAAGCCTATATATATATTTATTTAATAAGTTAAACTTCTTTAATTTAAAGACTACAAAATCGAATTTATTGATTATAATAATAAGGATAATTATGATTGTAGATTTTAAAATATTATGTATTTATATTTACTAATTTATAGTATTTTTTATTTTTACAAATTTAAATTTATGAAAATATATCTAAAATATTATTTAAATGTTTTTTAAAAGAATAAAGCCTATTTTTTTTCATATAAATATATATAAGTAAGTATATTTATTGAAAATAAAAAATAATCATAAAAAAATGAAAAGAAAATTTATTATTTAAAATAAATAAATATAAATAAGTTAATAAAAAAAAAAAATACTAATATTAATTTAATAACTAATTAAAACAAATAATTATATAAATAATTTATAAAAAAACAAAACAAAAAAAATTCAAAAATCTTAAATCCAATCTTCTTACAAAGCCTAAAATGCATCCAATCTATGGAATCTATTTTTTTTGAGTATTTTTTTCAGGAACAATTATCCTTATTACGATATTTAAATTTATAAACTATCATCATCTTATTAAAAACTTAATTATTTATTAACTATACTTTCATATATACTATCTGCATTTTTTCCATTAAAAGGAACTGTACCAAATAAAAGTGTATAAATAATAACTCCAACACTCCAAACATCTGATTTATGATCTACTATATATTCCTGAATAGTTTCTGGCGCAACAGCCGTTGGTTAAGAAGTCAGGAAATCATTTCTTGATTTAATTTTATTAATAGTAAGTCGATTAATTACAGTATCACATGTATTAAAATCAACCAATTTGATTTTATCGAAACTATCTTCTTCGTTTTTTAACATGAAGTTTTACATAACAATATCTCCATGTACAATATTATGATCTTTTAAATGTGAAAGAATTATAAATAATTATTTTGCGATTTATTTAACGTCATTTTCTGGTAGATGTTTATAACATTTTAATATATCATATAAATTAATTTCCAGATATTCGGTTATTATTACTATTTTTTCTTAATCTTCAAAATATTCGTGTATTTTTAGGATATTTTCATGTTTTAATATTTATAAATATTTTATTTCGTTCATTTAGTTTTCTTCTAAATATTTTTTTTAAGTATTTTTTTTATAATATATTTTCGCACACATATATATATTTGGAGAATTCTTTTTGGACTTTTTTTACACTTTTAATACATGAATTTCGGTTTCAGCATTTTCAGATAATGTGTCTAGTATTGTATATACTTTTTCGAATTTTTAATAATTTTTTAATGAATTTATTCCTTTTTTATTATTTATTGGATGAATATAAATAGTATTGAAGTCATTTATATATATATATAATTATTTTTTATTATTATTAAAATATTTTTATTTTAATTTTTTTTTTTTAATAAATTTAAAAACATTTTAAAAAAAGAGTTTTTTAAATTCTAAAAAAATTAAATAAAGGAGGTTCAAGTCATTTAATTTTAATTTTTGTTTTAAAAAAAAATAAATTAATTTAATAATATGTTTTATGTTTATAATTATAAAATCTATTTTATTATTATAATTTACTAAAATTTTAATAATTATTTTTAAATAAATAAGCTAGATTCAATATTCTTAAATTCTAAAAATGATTTATAATATATATTATTGTATTATGCTATTGATATTATTTTCACCAAAAATAAATTTATTAATATTGTTTATTTAATTTTTACAATCTCATAATTTGAATTAATGAATTTAATTAAATTAGAAGCATAACATATTTAAGAAGAAGTTGAATATTGATACTTTTATTTATAATTAGAAACAATATTATTATTATTTTAATACTCATAATTTCATAAATTTAAGTAATTAGTTATTTTAAATATATTTATATACAAAAAAAGATTACTTAATTTTTTTAAAACACATATTAATCTATTTATTTTTAACTAATATTAAATATTATGAAAATCTACTATTTTTTTTAAAGAAATCACATTGAATAAAAACTAATCTTTGAAATTTTATTTATTTAAAATTATGATTTAATAATTTTTAGAATTCTTATTTTATATTTTAAATTGATTGAGTTTAAATTTATAAAATATGAAAATTTTAATAAAAATATACATTGAATGATGATAATATAATATATATAAAAGATTTCTATATTATTCAAATTTATTTATATTTTAATTTTATTTAAGATATAAAATTATAATTATTAAATATTAAATATAAAAATTAATTACTTTTCTAAAACATTTACTATTATTTATGTTGTATTATCATTTTTATTATAATTATTATAATTTTATAATGTCTTATTAATATATTATTAATATTTCTAGTAAAATATTATTTTAAAAATGATTATTTAAATAGTCAGCTTTGCTTAGGTTATTTTATTTCTTTGTAATTAAAAGAAGAATTAAAAAAAAAAATTATTTATTTAAATAATTTTTTTGTTTTATTTTAACATAGATATTTTTTTCCTATTATTTACTTTATTAATTATTCAAAAAAAGAAAAATATTTATCATATATTTTTTTTGTTTAGTTTTGTTTTTTAAAACACATAATTAATAAAATGATAAATCTAAAATTTTTTTTATTAAATAATTTTTTAAAATATTATATTCAATTATATATTATTATTTTGGCTTATTTTATATATAAACTAGATTTACATTTAATAAAAAATTATAATATAAAACAATGATCTTATAAATTATTTTAGATTAAATTTTCTCGTATTTTAATAACTAAATTAATTTGAATTATTATTAAATAATATAATTATTAACTAATTTCCTTTACATAAGAATATATATAGTTTTATTATTATATTAAATATATCTTTATTTTATATTATTTATTTTTAAAGTATTAAAACATGTAATTTTAAATTATTATATTTTTAGTAAAGTTTTATTAAAAAAACTAAATAAAATATTATAAAAATGCTAATATAATATATTAATATTTAATATAATTTTTAACTTTATTATTTTCATAAAAATATATTTTAAACTTAGGCTTATAATTCTTAGTAATTTATTTAATAAAGAAATATTAAAAATATTAATTTTTAATAAATTGTATACTTATTATTTAATTACTCTAAAATTAAAAAAAAAATAATTTTTTTTAAAAAGTCCAAATTATAATAAAACTAGTATATATGTTTTATTTTTAAGTAAAAATAATCAATTTATAATGATAGAAAATTTATTCCGTAAATAATATAAATTTGACTGATTTGTTTTCTATAAAATTAGTGAAAATATAGATTACAATATCAAATTCAATATAATATATAATTAATGTTATTTCAATATTCTTTATACAATTATTTATAATGATAATTTATTATCGAAGTTGTTATGTGTTTAAATTAAAAAAAAAATATGCTTAATATTTTTTATTTAAAGATTTAAATTATATATTTTTTGTAAATTTAAATATAAATGTATTATTTAAAAATAAAATGCATATTTAAATATTTTTTTTATAACTAATAAAAATAAAAATTAAATTGTATATTGTTATAATCAAGATATATATTTTTATTTATTTAAATTATAAATAAGGAATATAAAAAAAAAATATATAAAATAAAATGTAATTATATTTGAATTAGTATTTATTGCTTATAATTAAAAGAATAGATAAATATAGCAATAGAATGAAAACATAATTATGAAAAAAAAAAAAAAATAATTATTATTTAAATATTTTTTTAAAAAAATATATTCTAAATTGCATGAATTTAAAATATTTATTTGGAAAATGAATTAAAAATAAAATAAAATTTTAAATAAAACAAAATATAAAAATTTATTTTAATATATAAACATAAAAATAAAAACTAAAAAAAAAAAATATTTTATTTTATATATAAAATCAAATATTCTCTACTTTAAAAAAATTAAAATAATTTATATATACAATTATTTAAATATATATTTAGTAATATATATATAAATATATATCAATATATGTATATATATAATATTATTAATATATATATATATATATATGTATTTATATTAAAAAATAATAATAAATAAAATAAAAAAATAAATGCGTAATTACTCTCTACAAAAATTTTTAAGTAAAAATTATAAAAAATAGATTTATCAATTTTTTTGATAAAAGGTGAATAAATAAAAAGTCCTCATCATAAAAAACTAAATACATTATTTTCTAATAGTACGTCTGTTTTTAAAACACATGATATTATTTAGAACGATACACACGATTTTTCATAATAAAAATCATTATCGAATTAATAAAAAAAGCTTTTGATAAGGCTTAATATCCAAAAAAAATTTGCATATAATCCAGCAATCAAATACTCTTTATAAGATGAAAAATAGAAAAAAATAATTATATAAAATAATAAATATTTGAATTAAAACATCGAATAAACAAATAACCTAAACATATAACAATAAAATAATTAAAAATAAACATTAATAAGAATTTAAAAAAGTTATTAGAAAGAAATCGAATTTAATAATTAAAATATTTTTAAAATCGAAAACTATAAAATGTTTTAAGATCTTATTCATAATATAAATTTTAACCAATGTTTGATTTAAAATGATTAGCTTTTTCGAAATTTAAAAATAGAGTCTTAAATAAATGAAGTTAATTTGGAGAACTTAATTATAAAAATATAGGACTTTATTTTAAATATATAGCCTGAATTCGAATGGAGTTTGTAATCTAAAGGTTGGCCTCCAAAAAGTTTCATCTAAATTTTAATGTTAAAATTGGGAGAAATATCTAACGAAATTTGTAAGTTTTTAATTTAAAATAATTTTAGGGAAATATGCATTTTTATAAATGATTTAATTAAAAAATTTGCAAGTATTTTTGAAAAAATTTATTCGTTTTTTTAAGAAGAAATGGAAAACAAATTATAAATTCGTGTTTTAGAAATGGAAAACAAATTCAATTTTATTGAAAAAGAAAAAAATAATTATAAGATGATTTAGTTAAATTAAAAGCCGAAAAATTAAAAAGAAATTTACTTGTAATAAAGAATAACCGATTTGGAAAATGCAAATAGTAATTGTTTAGTTAAAATTGATTCTTTGAATAATTAAATTTAAGGCTTGTAAAGTTCGAATTATAAAGACTAGTAGTTAACTTTTATTTAAAATAATTCTAAAGAAATAATCAAAAATTGTGTTATTATAGAAGATTAAATATAGAAAATCTAAAAGGAAAGTGATGCTTGGTTTAAAGATTTAGCTAATATTACTATTTAATAGTTCGCAAATTCAAAGAAGAAATAAAATTAAGAAAATAATGATTAATTATTAAATATAAATAATGATTATTTAAATTTTGTGTAAAATATTAATATAAATAATATTTTTTTGGAAGAAAAAGAGCATCCTTTTTTGTTCTATTTTAAGAAAGATGTTTGTTCATTTTTAATTGAAAATCTTGTACCAAAAATGAAATAAAATGAAATTGTTTGTATATTGGAGGAATTTTTAGATTATGTAAATTTTATAATGTATATTATTTATAATTTTTTTTTTTTATTAATTATATATTATTTATTTATTTTTTTAAAAAAATAAATAAATAGGTTGATAATAATTAAATAGAAGGAAATAATCCACCAATATAATTTATTAAGTAAGTTGTTTTTTTATTTTTGATGTTTTTTTATTTTATAGTTGGATGTATTAATAAAATGATAATTTTTTTACTGTTACAGTTAAAATTACATAAATAATTTCGTATTTGTACTAATTATATTTAAATAAAAAAGAATATGCTTAATTTTATGCAATTGTTTTTGGGATTTTTTAAGAAAATAAATTAAATTTAAATTAGTTTTAAATTATTTTATAAGCAAGAAATTAATTTATAAAGAAAAATAATTTATTAAATAATATTTAAAATTTAGATGATAATGATATCTAAAAAATATATTTAAACTAAATATATATTCCTATTAGTTAATTACAATAAACTTTTAATAATTTATTTTAAAAAGTTATCATATAAATAATTAAAAATTAATTTAATATAAATATAAAAATAATAGAATCAAAATTATAGTAAAATAAAAAATAAATTCGAAATATTTATTGAGTCAGAAAAGAAAGTTCGAAATAACAGGTAAATAAATATATATATATATATATATATATATATATATATATATATATATATATATATATATTTATATTAAATAGAGCTGTTAGTGAATAACGAAATTCTAAAAGTTCTGAATAATCTGCTTTAACTTTGATTCCAACTTTAATGGAAAAATTAAAGACTGAAAATATAAATGAAGTAGTGAATAGCTTAGAAAACTCCCTATCTAAATTAGATAAAGGAAAAATTTTAAAAGGTAAATTATTTTTATTTTTTTAATTTATATTATAAAAATACTAATATAATGTTATTTTTTTTATAAAAATAAAAAAAGTTAATTTAAAAACTTTTTAATAATATATGTATAACTAATATTCTATAAATATCGAAAATGAGTCTTTAGGAGAATATTTCAAAGATTTCATATAAAATAAATATTTTTTATATTAAGAATTTATAAATAAGATAATTATTTCGAAAATTCCTGAACATATAAATGAAAGAATGATTTAATATTATTCTGCATTAAATGAAATTTAAAACTTATTTTTTTATGAATAAAGTTAAAAAATATAAAGTTTTAAAAATTCATTTAATAGTTAAATTTCCGATGGAATTAATTTCTTTAGTTTTAAATAGTTTTTTTTCTTTTTTTTAATATTTTTTTTTACTTTTTTTTTTTTAGATTATAACTTTTTGTAAAAGAATATGATAAGATTGAAAGTGATATTTTTAAATTTGATATAAATTTAATTTAATATGCAGAACTTTATTAATAAATATTTAAAACTAATCATATTGTGGATTTATATTAAGGCTTTAAATAAAAAGAAAGTATAGATTTTGATTCAATTTAAGTTATTAATAGAATATACCCTCCTAATATATAAATTGATAATTTTTACGAATATATTAAAAAATTATCAATAAAAAATTAAAATTATACTTATAAAAAAAATTTGAATCAAAGTTTTTATAATTTTCCTTAAAATGACAATTATTTAAAAGTTAAAATAATCAAAAGTGAGTAAAGCAAAAAAACAATATAAAGTAAAGTCCTGAAATCTTAATAAAGCAAGATGCTAAAAAATACCAGTATTATTAGTTTGAATTCTTCTTAGTCTAATTATTCGTAAAATATAGAAAAAAAGGAAAGTATAAAAATGATAGATGATAATAAAAAATCATAATTTTTTATAAATATGAATTAATGATATATACAGACATTAAAATTGAATAATTATTTATTATTTATTTACGAAATTACTTTTATTATTTAAAAACTTATAAATAACATAATAAATATTTAATTTCTACTTTTTAATAACAATTATACTATAATAAAGAAAAGAGTTTAAAAATATTAATAAAGATAAACATATAAAAAATAAAAAAATAAACAATCAATTTATATTATTAAAAATAAATATAACTTAAAAGCTTTTTAATAAAAATAAAATATTAAATTTATAAATAAGCATTTCTTCTAAAAAAATAAAATTAACATTAAAAAAATGAGGCCATACACCGGTTCTCTAATATAATCTAATACTCAAGAAAATCCATTAAAAATTCCGTTGATAAATTAATAATATTAAACCATATCACAAGAGAAATTTCGCAAAATAAAATCCTTATTTTCAACTCGTTCTCAATTAAGGATTAAATTAATCGGCTTTTCCCAAGACCCAGAATTCTAGAATATAAAAAATAGTACAAATATAATCCAAAAAATAAAAAAAATTCGCATCGAAACCCAAGAATATGACAATGAAGTCGATTATGACGCCCAATTTAATAGATTGAAAAGAAACGGTCAACTATTTTTACCAGCCTACCATATATATAAAAATAAATAATATAACATAAATAAACGTCCTTTTTATTTTTTAACAAACTAGGACCACCCAATATTTTCATTAGAAGAATTTTAGGAAAAATTCGGATTAAATAAATCTCTTATAGATCATAAAATTATCCGAAATTGTTTCCCTAAAGTAGTTTAAAATACAGAATAATAGGAATCTAATTTTTATACAGTTTCAAATTTTCCATAATCATAAATTAAAACTTAAATTTTATCTAAAAGCTCATAGCAAAACCAAGATGCCCTAGTTTATTTATAAATAAATGCCGCATTAAAAACCTCACAAAAATATTTGCTAAATAATACCGAAGATGTCAAATCTCCTATAAGTTTAAATTTTAATAAATAAGTTTTATATTCTGCCGATAGTTTAAGGAGTGATAGATCTAGTTTTGATAGTCAAATTTAAGAAGAGAGAAATTTATATAATAATGGTGATCCTTTTTAGATAATAATAAAACTTAATTATAATATAGCTCCTAAAGCTTGCTAGAATTTCCTCAAATTATGCCAAGGATTTATTAATAGTGAAGGTAATTATCTTACTTTTAGGAAAACTTAAGCTCTGAGGTTTAAAAAATATGGGTTTGTACAATTTGGGATTCCTAAATGTGGAAGCTCGGTTTTTGGAGGATTTTTCGAAGATGAATCTTTTGCGATTAAACATGACAAAGCAGGCATTGTGGGATATTGTAACAAAGGAATTCCACATACTAATAGTAATTAATTTTATATTACTTTGGGAGAAATGAAGAGTTTTGATAAAAAAATGGTTGCTTTTGGACGAGTTGTGAGTGGATTAAGCCATCTTTTTAAAATCAATAAATTATACTTCCCGAATAATAATAATTAAGGGTTTAATTTAATTATTTAAGATTCTGGAGTTGTATAAATGCCAAGTTTGAGTAATAATAATAATTTTTTAACCAATAAAAATAGATATAAAATTTTAGAAGTAAAAGATAATTAAAATGTAAATTAAATATATATTTCAATTATTTAAAAAATATGTTTTTTTTTTTTAAATAAAAAAAGGATTATAAGGATAATTAAAATAAATCAGATTTGTTTAAATATATAGGATATAGACCTACTAGAATAATCAGTTTTGAATAATATATTATATAGGAGTCAGTATTACATAAAGAAGTAGGGAGTTAAGAATATATTAATTTAATGCTTAGTTTATAATCAATATGCTTTTAATGCACTTATTTATTATAAAAATCCTATACTTTTAAAAAAATTGAAGAAATAAGGAATTTAATATAATAAGTTTTCATTAAATATTTAATTTAGAGTGAAACTGTATCTATAATATATGATATAAATTAAAATAATACAATAATCTAATCTAATAATGGTAAGTTTATAGTAGTTTTTACTTCTTTAGATATTTAAGATATCTAAGATATTAATAGTTGTGGCTCTATTTTTGTTATTTATAGAAAAGTTACTACTTCTTTTAAACCTGCTACTAAATAGGATTTATTATAAACTGGTGAATAAATATATGGAGCAGGGTACTTTATGTATGGGTAAAGCACTTAAATAATGATTTAAACAGGAAATAAATTAAATTGTTTCACTTTGGATTAAGAAAACAATATTTTTATACTCACACATAGCAGAATTAAAGCTTCTAAAAGAAGTGGCATTATTACATTTAATGATTCTAATGTCAAATTTATTGATGAAAATATAATAAAATTTTTATAAAATAAAAAAAAAGAAAAAAATTCTTATAGAGGAAGGTTTTTCTTATATATACATATACATATTTTATTTTATTTTAAAAAAAGATTTAATGGAAGCAAAGTTGCTAATTTTCATAGAACTCTTCTTTAAGGAGGTATTCTTATTTATGGGTTAAACGAAGTCAATATTTATGAAAC